GCCCTGGGGTCCTGTTCTGAGCTTCGGTTTCTGCATTGGCTGCAGGCCTCTCGTGAATGCTGGGTGGGGTGGGATGGGGCGGGTCCTAGGCTTGAGGAACCATCTGGTGAAACGCAGAGGAAGAGATTTGCTTCCAAAACTTTCCTGGCAGGCTCCGGCCACGCGCGGTGTTGGGAATGAGTAAGAATGAAGCAGAAGAGTCCAGGGGAGCCCGGGGGAGCCCAGGGGAGCGGCTTGCATACTGACCGCCCCAGGGCACGTTCTTTAGTTCCTCTGACCCAGCGGCTGCTGTACTCGATCTCGCCACTGACTGGGGAGCTTCCACTGGAGGCTCGTCCTCTCTCGGTTTTCAGGGCTCTGGGGGAGAATCTGTTCTTTGCCTTAAAAGTTTCTCGTGGCCGTAGCGTAGTGTTCCTTGACTTGTGGCTGCCGCCTTCCAGTCTCTGCCTCCACGGTCATGTTGCCTTCCCTTCTCTGCCTTGGCCCCTGTTCTGCTGTCATATCGCCTGTGTGTGTCATTGCATTAGGGTCCACGTAGGTGATTCGTGGTGATCTCGCCTTAAGGTCCTGAAATTAAATACATCTGCCAAGAGCCTTTTCCAAATAAGGTCCCAGTCATCGGTTCTGGGGCTGAGGACGTGGGCATATCTTGGGTAGGGACCATTTTCTCCACTACTGGGGGAAAGAAGCCGTACATACATGTATCAGGCTAAAATCAAAGAGGGAATAGGGGGTCTCGGAGCCCCACTCAACGCCACCCTCTTTATTCAGGGCTCCTGGGTGCTTCGGGGCCACTGCTGTGGAACCCCTAGGCTTTCAAGGAACATGCCTTGAGCACCATAGCCTTAATGAAGGGTCAGCGTTCTTGGGTGACTCCTTGGGCAGGGACCCTCTTGGTCTGGCTTCTCTCTTGGGATTCTGGCCCGAGCGGTAACCAGTGACCACAGACGATATGTGCTTAAAGAGAAATATCCTTTTAGTGCCTGACTTTAGAGTTTATATTGAAGTGTGACTCAGGTTAAATATAAAATTCATAGCATATCTTGAGCAACTATTTTGTAGTTATCTATATATAAATCTATTTTACAGCGACACAAATAGAATAGATTATGGAGTGTCAGCATGTAGATAGATTCCGAGTGCTTTTTCACTAATATACCTAATGATTCGTGCTGAGAATATCCAAGGGCTCCACTGTACATTTAAATGGATATAATTAAAATAATGAGCTCTATTTTAAAAAATGATATATGAAAAAAAATTTTTTTTGAAGAAGTTAGAAGATGCTACACCACTAACTCAAAGTGATATAAGTACTTCAGTGATTCCATTGTTATTAGGACACCTAATTAAATGCAGAGCACCCGAGAAAAGCAACATTTGGGCTTATAAATCTAAAGCGTGAAGCCAGGAGAAGAGGAGTTGCCAGTGTCCTTGGCGCTGCCAAGGCTCGGAGGTGTCTCATTTAAGGGAGTGCCTGCGGGTGACAGGATGGCTCAGAGTCTCCTGTGGGGGCCAGAAGGGGCCAGAAAGGAGATCTGATGCCACCTCGAGCAAGCAGGGAAGGTTTCCCAGAGGTGGGATGTCGTCATGAATCCATGATGTTACCCTAATGGCAGCTGCCATCCATGGAAATCCAGTCTGCCCCAGCTCCCTGGCTCAGCTCCCACCCCCGCGCTGGCAAGGATCACGGTCTTTAACAGACGAGGAAACTGAGGCTCAGAGAGGGAGTCTAGCCCAAGGTCACAGGGTGTGTGGATGCCCAGCCTGTCTGATTCCAGCAACGCCCCGCCCCCCCTTAAAGATATCCTGAGGCTGGTGTGGTCCTTGAGAGCAGGAAGGGACACTGAGTCTGTTCAGGTGCGACAGGCAAGTGCTCGTAGACCTGAGGCTGAGCTTCTGAACATTGGCAGTGACAGATCGGGCTTGACGATATTCCAGGCGAGAGTCTGTCCTATTGCCTTCCGTCCGTGTGACCTCAGTTGCGGGAGCACAGGCAGGTGGACCCTTTGTGTCCAGTGGGCCTCTTTGCTGTCCTGGAAGCACATCTGCCCCATCCCTGGGGCTTCACTTTCTGTGCATCTGTGCCAGGACAGCCAGTGCCAGGGTGAGTCCCCGGCTGCCCACCTGCCCTCCCAGCAGCCTGGCTGACACCTGTGGGCTGTGCTCTTGCCGGGCTGGCGTTCAGGCTCAGATGGGATCCCCGCGTTCCACCCCATGCCCAGCAAGCCTCAGGGCTAGTGGGACTGTTTGTTAGCACCCGAGTGCTCTCAGGCACGGAGCAGCAGTTTCAGTAACTGTCGCCAGTTCCCACGGGCATGATCCTCGTGCTCTGTGAGCCGCCCTAGACGAGGCGCTGGATTGACATTTTTGCGGTTGATCTTCACAAGACGTTTTGAGCGGACGTGGGGCTCCCCACTTCACCGGTGTGTGCATAGGCTCACTCAGGGTCACCAGCCCGGATGTGGTAGTGATGGGATTTGAACCCCTGTTGATTTGCCTCCACAGCACCTGCAGTGCCATCTGTGCCATGTCAGGCCTGCATCCTCACATACTTCCCTCTTCTGCACCCCGTATAAGACAGTAGATAAGTGTCAACCGTCTCCACTGGGGCGACTGTGTAGGGGCCCTTACAGGCATTGCCTTGACTCTGCATCACAGCACTGCGGGGCAGGTGCTGTGCTTGTCCCCATGGCACAGGTGTGAACACTGAGGCTTGGAAGGAGGACTGGAGCCACTTGCATAAGAACCCAGAGCTTGGAAGTGACAGTTCTGAGATTGGCCATGGGACCTTCCAACTTCGGAACCTTCCTTCTGGGTTCATCACATTCCATTCCAGCCTGATTGTCCTTTTACCTCTACTGTCCTTACCAGTGCCAGGGAGACCTTCACCCCCAGGACTTCAGGGCTGGCTGGCTGATAGGTTGTCCTCAAGCCATTGCTGTCCCCTGGTCATTTCTCAGACCTGCCGGTCCTGCGGCTCCCGGGGCCTCACTGAACCAAGATGCTTTTTGGCTTTGTGACGACTGAAGCGGGGGATGGGTAGACTTTGCTCCTTTCCCAGCTCCTTTCCCAGGGGGTGCCAGTGCTCGGCAAGGGGACCCTAGCTCAAGATATCCCCCCTTGGAGAAAGCAGCAGCCTGGAAAGCCAGGCCATCTGCCTTCCCCCTGTTCACCTACTAGCAGCTCAGTTCTGAGTCTCTTCTGGATGCAGAAGGTCAAGGATGGGTGACATGGGAGCTGCGCCAGGGGCAGGTGGGCACCCCGCTAGTCGCAGTGCTCCGCGGCTAAGAAGCAAGATGCCTACATCCAGTTTGGTTCCACGTCTTCCTACCTGTGTGACTTGGATCAAGTTATTTCTCCTCTCACTGCCTCCATTTCCTTATCTATAAAAGAGATAATCCTGGGACTTCCTCCCTGGTTGTACCCGAGATGAAAAGAGTCGGTATGTTAGGACAGTCACGGCACGTGGGAAGCGACTTCAGTGTTTTCTTAAATTGGTAAAAGAACTGAACACGGAGGCGATCGAACCATCCTGATCTATGTCTCCTGTTGTAGAGAAGGGCAAATGCGTCAGGCCCACGGGGAGGAGGTGTCATTGGGCCCACTGAGTGCTAGAGATGCTGCACTCATTTGTCATCATTAATGATAGTGACGGTGGCCGTGTCTTGTGCGCTGTTACGGGCCGGCCGTCGTGCCGAGTGTTCTGTTAGGTGATTGAAATCTGCCTGACGATCCTGTTAGCTCCATTCTGCAGATGGGAAAACTGTGGCTCAGAGGTCAGGGAGCTGGCTCGGGTCACACAGTATGGAGGTGGCTGACTGGACAGCCCTGGCTCCTGGCTGGGTCCCCCCACCCCCCAGCCTTCCTCTTCACTCCAGCTGAGTCCTGTGTGTTTGTCTGCCCGGGCTGCCGTAACAAAAGACCACAGACGGGGTGGCTTGGACAACAGGGATGTATTGTCACACAGTCATGGAGGGTGGAAGTCTGAGACCAGATTTGGTTACTGGTGAGAACCCTCTTCCTGGCTTGCAGACAGCCACCTCCTCTGCGTGCCTTCACGTGGCAGGGAGAAGGGCAGAGAGAGAGCTCTCTCTTCCTGTTCTTCTAAGGCCACAGCCCTGTCAGATTAGGGTTCTACCTTTATGAGTTCATTTATCCTTAATTATCTCTTAGAGACCCTGTCTCCAGCTATAGTCGGGGTGGGGTTTAAGACCTCACCATACAAACTGTGGGAAGGTAGGGGGACCCAGTTCTGGCCATAATACCTCCCCAGTGCCTTCTCCTTGCTCCCTCCTCATTAGCTGGGACCCTCCCCTTCTCTTTCCTCAATTTCCCAACCTCAGAGCAAGTTCACAGCTGGGAGGGACAGTGACTATGATAAAACTTATGCCCTTGGTGACAGATGGAGCTGCTGAAACCCCGAGAAGAGTAAGGTCTTGTCCAGAGTCACGCAGCAAGCCCACTGCAGATCCAGGGTCAGAACCTGGGTCCCTGCCCCCCGGCCCAGCACCTCCACGAAGCTCCAGGTGGTATGCTGGTGGATCTTGCCTGAGTGTGCCTCGAGTCTGCACCTTTCAGTGCAGTCCAGATGCTTCCCTGATGCTGTGGAGAGGGCTGGACGTGACAGGGTGGCTTCCCCGGGCTGGACATGATGTGATCTCCCGTTCTTGCACACCTTGGTTTCTGTACCTCAGAGATGGGAATGATGCTGATGATCCCTCAGCCAGAAGGACGAGGGGGCCCTTATACCCTAAGGGTCACATTGAACCATCTGTTTGAGAGATGGCAGGGACCTGGCTACATGCCTTGGCCTGCCACCAGTCTTGCGTGTGGCGCTGAGCGAGCCCCAGCCCTGCCCTGGCTCCAGAACCTGTGCCCTGCCCACCCTGGCGTTGAGCTCGTTACCTTAGGGATGTTTTCTGATTTTCGAAGACCTACCTGGAGGCCCGAGTGTTGGTCTGAGTGAGGCTTTTGGCTTGTCATCCCCCATCCTTCAGGTGGGAACAGGGAGGAACTTGGATGAAATCTCCTGCCCTTCTGCCAAGGAGGGACGAGAACAGCACGAGGCACTTTGTACACATCAAGCCACTTAAACCCTTGCTGCTCGAGGTGCGGATTGAAGACTAGCAGCGCCGGCCTTGGCTGCGTGCTTGTGGGAAAACCAGAATCTCAGGCTAAACCCGAGACCTGCTGAAGCGAATCTGCATCTTACCGAGCTGCTCAGCACCTCGGCAAACTCCTCACCTTGAGATGAATTGATTTCAACCACCCGGAGCTGCCCTTGTAGTTGTAAGAGTTAATTACTGGGCACATTTAGACCTCTTTAGATCCCAGTTTCCCTGGCTGTGAAATGGGTGGAACTGGGGCCACCCTAGCCCAGGAATTTTTCAAACCGTGTTCCTCGGAGCACCCTGGGTTCCCGGGCAGGCCCTGAGGGCAGCCGTGGGGACTGTGTGCTTTGGGCTGAGATGCCCGGGGAAGTGGGTCTGCAGCTAAACAGGTTGCGCCCCACCCTGGGCCGGTGGGCTTCCAGATGTCTGGGGGCTGGCATGGGGTCCACCCTGAGTGAACTCTCTTCTTCCCCCAGGGAGCGCTTGAAGCGCAGCCAGAAGAGCACCAAGGTGGAGGGGCCAGAGCCCGCGCCCGCCGAGGCCTCGCTGAGTGCCGAGCAGGGAACGATGACGGAGGTGAAGGTGAAGACAGAGCTACCCGACGACTACATCCAGGAGGTGATCTGGCAGGGGGAGGCCAAGGAGGAGAAGAAGGCTGTCAGCAAGGACGGGACAGGCGACGTGCCCGCTGAGATCTGTGTGGTGATTGGTGGTGTCCGCAACCAGCAGACCCTTGGTGAGTGCCCATCTGAGAGGGTCGGGGCTGGGACCAGGGCGGGGCGTGGGGCGAAGGCGTGCTCTCCGTGGCTGAGAGAGCTTCCATGGCTCCCCTCTGCCCTGAGGACAGGGCCTAGGCTCCTTAGACTTGCCTTTGCTTGTACAGTCCTCTCTGGACCTCCTTTCCACCTGACCTGCCAAAGCCCTGTCTGTGTTTAAGACTTCGTTCAGGTCAGATGACTGGAACTTTCTGTAGGTGGGGTGCAGTGCATCCCTCATGCCATGGGACTGCCGTGCCCCCCAGGGGGTCTAGTGCAGCTACTGCACTTGTTGCCCATCTGCATTTTTTCCTCCTTGGCTTTACCTTGGGCTCCTGAAGGCAGCTCCCAGTGTAGGTCCTGCTCTGAGCAGGTGCCCAGTTGGGGTCAGATTGATGACAGACCAGCACCTTCCCCAGCCCCTTGTGGACTGGGTCAGGCTCAGAGGAGCTCCATGGGAATGAGCCCCAGAGAAATTCCTCTCTTCCCCTCACTTTCCAGCGTGAGCCAAGGGATTCCCCTCGGAGGCCTGCTAATAAGTTCATGGACTCAGATGCTCACAGGGCCCAGCACACACGCGGAGGGGCTCAGTCCCCTGTTGCCGCAGTGCCTGGGTGGGAGCTCAGCGTGGCCGGATCTTTGGGTGTGTCACGCACCAGAAGTGAGAAATGTGATGTGAATTCTCTTGGCTTTAAATGTTGGCAACTAATTCGGCTTTTGAAATCGGACAAACCAAACACATATGTGGGTCAGAGTCGTTCCGTGGCCACGGGTTTGTAACCCCTGGCCTGTAAAATAAAGTCTGTGAGCCCCACCCCGGCATCGAGGCCTTGCCTGGTCTGTTGCCATCCGCGTGGTCCTCCACATTTTTGTGCTAAGTGTGTTCTCAGGTGACACTGTCTGTCACCTCCATTCCCTCTGCCCAGTCCCTCCTGGTCCAGCTCTGGCTCACTTCCTCTAGACTCCCGGGCTCGCATCCCATGTGGGCCTGCAGGGCCTTGTGTGGAGGTTCCCCTGTGCCCGTGTCCCCAGGTTTATGCTCAAGTCCTGTTGCCTTTTCTTCCCAGCTTCTGGGAGCAGCCTCGTGCTCCCTTTCCTGGCCGTCCCTCTGCTGTTCGTGTGGCACCATCAGTCCCGGCCTCCCACAAACAGCCATACCTTTGCATCTTCCTGCCCTCACCTGCTGCCAGGAGCCTTGGCAAAAACAAATCATTGACCATGTCACTCCCTGCTTATAAACTTGGGACTCCCCCCGTGACTAGGGTCAAGGCCATAGTATCAAGATCCTCCATAACCTGAGCCCTATTTCTTATTTATGATTTTTTTGGTCCTTTCATTCCTGCACACCCTGCCTTTCCCCAGCATTTCTTGCCCTTGGCCCCTATTCTTCTGTCTCCCTGGTATGCCTTTGTCCATCTCCACATACCAAGATCCAGCCCATCTTTCCAGGCCAGATCCAGTGCCATCTCTTCCCGTCTCCTTCTTTAATCTCTTCTGGTCACCGTGTTCTGTTTCTACCTTGCCCCTCACTTGGGTACTTCCCATTATCTATTTTAGATGACAGCGATCTTGCCCATGCCTGCCTCTGCCATGAGAATGGGAGCCTATGGTGATTGGCGCTCCAGGTCTTGTCTGATCATGTCTCTGGGCTCCCTGCTCTCACCCCACAGTGTCTAGCAAGATACGGGCTTCTAGGGAGCGGTGTTGACATTGGTGCCATAACTGTCAGGATGAGGTTGTGTTATGCCCCAGTAACAGAAGATCCTGAAAGTGATGAGATCTTGGTAGCTTAAACCCACAAAGGTTTATTTCTTAGTCACATTGCACGTCCATTGTGGGTCATCTGGGGGCTCTGCTCTGGACTGATGCTAAAAGCAGCCATTATGTGCAATGGTGCTGACCACGGGATGGAGGGAGGGAGAGAGAGAAAAAGATCTAGAGAGACTCACACTAACTGTTACCTGCTGCAGCCCAGAAGGGGGAAGAGTAAGTCCCCTCCCTGTCATTGGCCACATTCGTCACATGGCCCCACCCAACCTCAGGTGGCCTGAAACGCCATCCTCCCGCATGACAGCACTAGGATGAGCCCTCAGTACTTGGTGAAGAGTACGAGTGCCTTCTCCCAGGGCCGAGTGGAAGAAGGGCTTTTTCAGGCCTTCCGCCATCAGTATTCGCTCCCTGGGGCCAAGGACAGTGGTAGCCACTGGGTATGTGTTAGCTGACCCAAGAGAGGACGTGCCCTTGCTCACTTCGGGATGTGTGTTTTAAGACTCATTGGAGCGAATAGCTATTTCTGCCTCTTTACCAGGAGAGGCCCGGTGAAGGGTAGTTGAATCTGAATCTTGGGATGGAGCCAGCAGTCAGGATTCGGCAGGGAAGGCCTAGAGCAGCCGTGCTAGGGAAATGTTGGGAGGGAGCCCTCCCTGGGCCAGCTGCCGGCACAGTGAGAGGCTTCAGGGCCTCATGCCAGCCACGGACGCTGGGCTCCAGCTCAGCTCTGCTCAGCAGCAGGGCCCTTGGCTTTGCTTTGTGGTGCCCTAGTATCCTGTTCTCTTCAGTGGGGCTCCCCGTCCTGCCCACCTCATGGGTGTGCAGTGGACCAGAACAGCATTGTGCCAGGACAGTGAGCTTGGTCTTCAGTCTGGGAGTGGGTCCAGGCTCTCTGATGTAATAGCTGTTGGACTTCAGGCCGGCTGCTTGACCTCTCTGTGCCTCAGTCCTCACAGTTGCCAATTCATGGGGTTATGCAAAGATTCAGTAGGATGATATATAGAAAGCACTCAGCATTGTGCTTGGTGAACGATTAGCTATTTTCAGTAGTATTAGCATTGCTCTTCAAGGGGGAAGAGTACCTCTTTCGAGTACCTCTTCAAGGGGGAAGAGTAGTAACAGTCTTTGCCTTTTTCTAAAGCCTAAGGAATAAGCCAGAGTGATGTAGAGAAAAAACGGGCCAGGGAAGAAGTTGGCGATGGATTGAGGGGTCAGAACACATGGGTTCTTAGTGGGCCTCTGTTGTCTCCTCTGAATGGGGCAACCTATCCTATCCCTCCCGTCCCTGGAGCCCCTCCTAGTGCTGCATCCCTAGAATCCAGGGACTTGGAATATGTTGTGACATTCCTAAGTGACCTGCTTTTGGCAGACTCTTCAGAAAAAAGGAGGAAAGCCACAGTGGCAAGTGGGGAGTGGAGCTGCCATTTTGCAGCCCGTACCAGAGCAGGGCCTGGACATCCCCTGCTGGTTATTGGGGCTCATCTTGCATCCATCAGGGCTGACCTTCCTCCTTGAGGGTGTAGTTTCTGCCAAGGATCAGGCTCAGAGAAATCTGGCTTGGCCTCAGTACCAGGAATGAAAGGCATTTAAAAAAAAAGATCGATGTAAGAATTGAGTCTTTCGAATCCATCTGATCTCAAAGATGGCAAGTGAGTTTTATCTTGTGGGCCAAGTCTAAGTCATCGCTGCTGTTGATTAGGGGTTCCGTGTTAAAGATTCTAAGGGGGTGGCATGATGAAGCATGATTGATTATTGATGTCTGCCACGGATGTGGAAATGGGCAGTGTGGGGCTGTACGTGCTATGGGTTTGACGCCCTTGTCCCCTCATTATTATAGAGGGACAGACAGGCCCACAGAAAGGGGAAGAGTTGCTCTGGGCCATGTAGCAAGTCCGTCCACCTCGCAGCAACCCCCTCCCACCTGGAAGGAAAACGAGGAGAGAAGGCCCAGGGGATCTGGCCAGGGGTGGAATGCTGGTTAGAGCCATTGCTTTAAAGGCACCCATGCCATGGTGGCCGGGTGTCGCAGAGTTAGCTAACATGTTCCCCAGGTACTTGGCAGATGAGTGTGAGGTTCTGTGGGGCCGAGGGCCCTCTGAAGTGCCCTGCTCGCCCACCCATGCGCAGGGCTCAGAGCTGGCCTCTGTTGCTGAATTAGAGCAGTGTTCCCGAAGGTCACTCAGTGCTGCGCTGTGCGGGGACCTCCTGTTGGCCCTTCCCCCGAGCTCCAGCCCCTTGCGCCCACCCCCAGGTCCTCACTGGCCCCGGAACAGCCATCAGACAGTGTTCCGAGTGGTACGAACCTCCTCCAAGCCACTTCCCGTGGAGGAGCCAGGGCTTGGACACGCGGGTGGCATTTGGCAGCCTCTCAGGCTGGGAGAGGCAGGAGGGGCCTCCCTGCCCAGGAGGCTGGCTGCCAGGCTTGCAGTGGCGGCAGCTATTTCCCGGCTGCCTAGAAGTGCCTGTGCTCTCACTCTTAGAAAGAACGTCACTGCCACTGGAGCCAGCGTGGGGGAAACTTGGGGGTTTTCAGCAAGAAAAGCAGCGATAATACTGAACCTGGTGACTCTGTTGGATAAAACCAGAGGTGAAAGGAAGTGAGGTCACAGATGCCTGTATTCACCCAACCGGCCGCGTGCGGAAGCCAGCACAGCAGCCCTGAGGAGTGGTAGAGCCATACTTGAGGTTTCCAGAAGGCCATGAGGAGTGCTGGACATAGGGCGCTACCTTTGCTGCAGCCCAGCTGCATCCACACTCATGGCAGGCATCGCTGACCCACCACAGTGGGCGCTGAGGTCACCTCCGGGTCCTGCTCAGCGCGGGACACAGACGTCAGTGCCAGTCAGCCAGAGTTGAATCCTAGGAAGTGGGAACCTGCCTGCCATTCTCGTCCTGGATGGTGAAGGCAAGGCAAGCTGGCTTTACAATAGGCAGGACGTTCAGTCCGTGGAGTGTTTCCCGGTTCTGAGAGAGAAGGATGCTCAGGTCCCACCGTGGTGGTCATAAGGTCCTAACAAGCAGTGGGTGCTCCTCTCTGTATGGGGAGACCGTCGGGCCTTAACCCCAGGGAGCCTGCACTGCCCAGGAGGGGAGCCCAGGGAGAGCTGCAGGTGCCTGGAGACCGGGTGGTCAGGAGCCCACAGAGGGAGTAAGCAACCCAGCCAGGCTCGTCCCCAGATATGGGGTGTGGGCCAACCAGGCTATTTCCAGA